GATATTCCCCAGGACCCAGGCAGCGTTGCGTCTGCAGCTCCCGATCAGGAGACTATGGTACGTATCATAGCCGAGCAGACGGGACTCAAGCGCGAGGAGGGCGACAACGAGGCTACCTTGCAGAAGCAGGCTCGCCGTCTTCGTGAGGAGAACGTATGCCATGGCGGTACTGAGGATACCGACAACGTCAAGATAGAGTACAAAGGACTGCCAGGGGAAAGGTTGTCTCGGATCGAGATCGAGGGTTTAAGCAGATCGATCGCTTCCAGACCAAACACCGAGATCAATCGTGAGGCGATCAATCAGATCGGTCAGAGCCTCGCTCGCGGTCAGGACACCCGCTGGGGATCCCGCGATCACCTGACTTCGGCAGGGGCCCCCGAGACGATCTTGCATCCCATACCGCTCTGTAACAATTGCGGTCGAGATCTGTCCCTCGGGATCGTCACAGGTGACGGCGCACTCTGTGATATATGTTGGCAATACACTGTGGCCGTAGGCGCCACAGGTAAGAGCACCGCCACACAGAGTGACCTCGCGTACCTCCAGAAGTTGACGAACTGGATCAAGACGACGTTGTCCGAGGACCAGGTCGCGAGATACATGAAGGATGGCGCACATGTCATTATGACGGGTGCGCGATCCCCCATAGGCACAGAGAAAGATCAGTTGCGGAGATTGGCCAATACGTCCAAAAAGAGGTATCAGAAGTGGGTCGAAGCCGGTAGCCCGCCTGCACACGAATGCAGATTAATGGGCGAATCCGAGGACGACCGACCTCTGTACTACCCATTCGCCAATCTCATACAACGCTTTCTCAACGACCTCAGATTCCATCATCAGATGACAGGAGCCCGCGTGAATGTCGGCAAGAAGCCCTGGAGCGTCGAGGACATGCGCGACGCGTGGGACATCCTTGACGTCAGTATTAGGACAGGACAGGCTGGTCGGAGAAAGTGGTGGCTGAACGAGGGACGCATTGACAGGCAGACGCGGCAGGCGCGCGGACTGATTACGGTTTCTCTCCCTCGAAGGGACGGAACCCGTGAACAGTTCACCCAGCGCAAGCTTGCCGCGATTGCCAGCGAGCTGATAGGTTCCCTCGATCCGTCACACACTGACCAGAGGGGGGGTAGTACAGGGATGAGAACCGATCCAGATACACACTCCCAACAGTCCGATGACGCCATGGAGCCGCGGCCGCCGCCGCGCCCGCCGCCGCGCCCTGCCCCTGGCGACGCCGCTGCATCCAGCGCCTCAGGCGCGGGGGACTACATGCCCGCGATGCCGCGCGCCAAGAGAGCACGTACATCTGATTACGCTGCTTACTGGGGCCACAATCTCGAGGACAGCGATTGGGGTCTTCGATACTGGAGTTACTACATCAAATGTTGGATCTACATTGCGATCAACAACGACGAGTATGTGTACATCCAGGATATCACGTACAACGATGGGTTCCGCAACTGGATCCCGAGGACAACTTGGGAAACGTTTACGACAAGCTACGCGATGTACAACGGCCGGAGGGTGTGGGACCGCAGGTTCTACAAGGACGGCGACGCGTAGTGAGTCGGCCGCAAGGCCCACTGCTCAAGAGCAGAACTTCCGTTCATCAAAGTTCGCCTTGAGCGGTGGCTAATACATTCTTTTAGGCCACTTCAATCTTTCACACAAGTGGCCATACACACATATAGATATCTTTTGCGATCACCGAGGCAGCCTCCTAAGGAGCAACGCCAACGGGAGTCGCCAAATTGATTTTTATACATCATTTTCGTGTTCATCAACACGACATTTTCTCCTGGCCAGGTACTTGCTTTAACGCAGATTTGCATTTCTTTCAGGATCGTGTTCGTCAACACGATCTTGGCATACATTTGCTTGTAGGCAGACTTGTGTTTGATTTTTTCTCGTTGCCTTTAGTTGCCTTGATGCTCAGATCTTCTTTCCCCGCCTACCTTTGTCTCATTCTTCTCCTCCCTCGAGTGCCGAAGCGTTTTGGGGGGCGCACCGAGGGGGCGGCAAAGTCCGCCTGGAGAAGAAAAAGAGACCCAAGGTATCTCTTCTTACCTCAACTTGCAACTGGGCTCCGCTGACTTTTAGCCCAGCTGCCTTTCAGACTTAAGGTCAAGGAGTTCAGAGGTTACGGATTCCATCCTCCTGATCCCGAGTCCTGCCTTCACGGGCGGGATTCGGGACGGGGTGTGTGTATGGAACCCGTGTAATACCCTCATATATACTCCTTATCCTTACCTCTCCCGCACCTGGCCGTTTGGGCTCAGGTACTGAGTTGGAGCGATCGTACCTTGATCGCTTGGGAGGGAAAGATATCCATCTATCCCTCCATCTCTCTACCAACGGATCAGGGATTCTGTGCTCTTGTACTTCAACCCCATACACACCAGACGACCTCTCTGCTGTGCCGTAACCTCAGCCAGACGAGGCCCGTCTCCAATTTATTATTACACCACAACATCCTTGGAACTAGACGTGCCCCTCTGCTGTACATCATACGTTGACCTCGACCTCCACCTTTCGACCTCGACCTCCATCTCGACCTAGACGAACCTCCACCTTTCGACCTCGACCTCCAATCTTTCACCTCCAACTGTCGACCTCCACGTCGGCCGCCAGCCCCACCTGATCGGCGTCCGGCGCGCATCACCAGGTGTTGACCTCCAACATCCCACCTCCAGCCTCGACCTCCACCTAACGACTTCCAGTTTCACAGTTTCACCTGACCGACCTGCAGCTCCCGGCTCCCGACTCCCAGCGTGCAGCAGCAGCGAAACCAGCTTACAGCTTCCGACCCCCAGCGAGCGCCACCGAGTGTCGACCTCCAACCTTCCACATCCAGTTTTCGACTTTCGCCCATCGACCCCCAGCCACCTGCCCGACCTCCAGCCTCAAACGTCCGACTCTCAGCGTGCACAACCAGCTGTCGACCTCCAACCTCCAACCTCCAGCTTTCGACCTCCACCTCATAAGCGCCAGTCTCACCTGACCGACATCTGGCTTCCAGTTCTGATCTTCAGCGCACACCACCAGCCGTTGACCTCCAACATGCCGCCTCCAGCTTTCGACCACCTCATATTGGCCACCAGCTTCACCAGACCGACCTCTAATCCAACCTCCCGGCCCCGAGAGTGCACCCAGTCGTCGGCCGCCAGTTTTTCACACAGCTTTTGACATCCACCCCATTCCCAAAAACCACCAGCCTCACCTGACCAACCTCCAGCGTGCACATGTGCCATTGACCTCCAACCCTCCACCTCCAGCTTTCGACTCCACCTCACAATCGGCAACCTCACCCGACTGACCTCCAGCTTTCAGCATCCAACCTCGGACGCGCACCACGACCTGTCGGCCTCCAACATCCGACCTTCAGTTTTCGACATCCACCTCTCGACTTCCATCCATTCTCACACCCGACGCTCACTTCCCCACTTCCTCGACTACTGAGGGCTCGAGCCCCACCGCGCTGCCCTCCTAGGGCTGGTCCCACCAGACCGACATCGCGCGCTCGCCTCGCCTCGCCTCGCATACGTTGCCAGACGAGGATCCTGCTTAAGCTGATTCAGACACCATCCTTTTGGTACTAGACGTGTGTTCTCTGCTGTGCACCGCCTGCTACTAGACGTGTCCCCTCCCCGAGCTGATTACACATCATCCTTGGTACTAGGCGTGCGTCTCTGCCCCGCACCACCTTCTGCTAGACAAGGCCCCTCCCCACGTTGATGATATCAACATCCTGGGCGCTGGACGTGCCCCTCTGCTGTACACCACCTGCAGGGTTCTTAGTTCCCCGCTACTCCACAGCTTCCGTCTCCGACACAACACCCAGTACTCCACAGCCTCCGCCGCCAACATGCACCGTGGCACTCCTCGGCCTCGGTGTACAAGACGGCCTCCTTAGAGGTTGCATGTTCAACCTGAACCCGCACGCCGCCCACCGCCGCCGCCCGCCGCTCGACCCGCTTGCCTCACCCGCTTCTCCATCACCGCACCCAGGATTATGCAGCCCTCGTCTCCAGTACAACACCCAGTACTCCACAGCCGCCCAAAGCGTCCCGGACCTCCACAAAAACCTTCTCTGAGGGGGGGGGCGGAGGAAAACCCTCCCAAACTCTCCAAAGCCCATCCCTGAGGAGTGGTCTGGAGGAACAATGACCTTAACCTCCTTTAACACCTCCGCTGAAGAAGGGTTCCAGGGACCCCCCCCCCCGATCCTCACCAGAAATATTCCAGGTTCCGGCCCCCCCCTAACCTTCCCCAAAAAACCCTCAGGGGGGGGATCCGGGGGAGAAACCTCCCTAACCCGCCCAGTCCGCCAAAAAACCTACCTGAGGGGGGGGTCCTGGGACCCCCCCTAACCCCCTCCGAACATGTCCCCTGAGCGGGGGGTCTGGGGAAAAAACCCAACTTCCCCTAATCTCACCAAAAGGCCTCCCCTGATCGGGGGGGTCCGGGGAAACCCCCCTCCCCCCCGAATCTTGCCAAGACTCCTCCCTCAGAGGGGGCTCTGGACAGAAAACTTCCTTAACCTCAACCGAACTTTCCCAGAGGAGGGGCTCCACGGGGAGGGTCCAGGGGGGGTTCTCCGAACTGGAGTTCCAGGAGGCGGGCCAGGAAAACCACATTAGCCTCCCCCGAACCACCCTTGAGGAGGGGTTATGATGCGAAAACCTTTCCTCCCCCAAAAGAACTCCTCGATGGGGGGTTAGAAGGGGCATTGGGCCCCCCCCCTTGAGGGGGAGGGGCTCGGGGGGTTTAGGCGGAGGGGTCAATCACATATTGTTTTCGAGTTTGGCCCCCCCTGGAGAACAGCCACACCGCCCTCCCCCAAGGAGTGGCTTCGGACGCACACTCATTGTGGATGGACGCCCCCCGTCATATATCCCCGAGCTTGGCTTAAGCAGATCTATAGGTCCGTTCGAACACCCCACGAAGTCGGGGATTTGGATTGCCATACCTCCCCAGTCAATCGCCCGTGAGAGGTGTACTTCCGCACGCTGCACTTCATCCGGGACAGGCCCGACTCGGGTGGGGATCGCTCCAGGCGAACTACGGTGGGGGCGTTCGTTAAGGAATGTGGCCAGGAGGCTTCAGACCCTGGAGGCTTCTTCATCGGGATGAGGGCGGCAGTGGTGTCCATGGGCGTTCCACCGGGCTCTGGACCCTGGACTCCTTCTCGAAGGGTTCCTTATGCGGACCCCCGACGTCATGATTTTGTTGCATCACGTCGGCCCCAGGAGATCTCGACCCATTCCCCAGGGTCAGGTTTTTCATCCCGAGTCATTGTTTGACGGCCCCGAGGCCCGGTAAGTGCCCCCAGAGGCCGACAATTGAGAAACTCCTCCCGTCATTGTTTTTTCATGGCCCGAGGGTGTCTGGGTCAGGGCTGGACCTAAGCGCTGCTTTGCTGGACTTCGGCTGTGTTTTGTGTTTCGTTTTGGGAGGGAGGTACAGGACAACAGGTCGAGCAAAACGAAACACAAAACGAAACCAAAACGAACAAACCAACGTTTAGGTCCGACCCTGGTCTGGGTATCCAATGCCTTCACGGTAGCCGTTTCAGTCCGCGGCGCCACCCGCCCGTGGGCAGTCTTCCATTTTGGATCCATGCCGCCACTGCTCTACAAACCCGAAGATTCGGCCCCAGCAGGCCGAAGAAAGCTGTGGAAGAGCGCCAGGCTGAAGCCTCGATCCTCGGCATGCTCCCTCCGTCCTAGATGTGCCCTGGGCCTTTTGTTACCGCCTTCATTTTATTCGGGGAATTGAGCATATGTAAATCATTGTGTTGATTTGTTTGGTCCCAGCAACAAGCATCACAACGCTTAACGCAACGGTTATCGGGCTTGCGCTGTTAGCTTAGTTTGTTCAGCGTGCTCAGATTAGTTCCCCATATCCTGAGATGGGGTTGTTGTTCCCCATATCCAAAGGATAGGGTTCTTGTTATTATCCGACCGCGCCGGACCACCCATACCATGATGATGACCATGACATGGTGAGAGGATGCTGTGAGTATGAGGGCGATGGTGAATTATGGATGAGTATGATGATGATGATGATGATGATGATGATGATGATGATGATGATGATGTTGATGCTGATGATGATGATACGGATGCTGATGATGATGATGATCATGAGTATGACGATGATGTTGATGATGACGATGCTGATGATGATGATGATGCCGCCGATGATGATGATAATGATGATGGTGATGATGATGGTGGTGATGATGATGATGATGATGATGATGATGATGATGATGATGATGATGACGATGACGATGACGATGACGATGACGATGACGATGAGCAGATGATGAGGTTGTCTCGAGCGGTTAGCTGGTTTTAGCACTCCTAAGGGGGGCCGCCAGGGACATTGCACGGCCTCCGTTCGCGCCCAAATGGTGGGCCAGATTTGGGGATGTCTCGATCGGTTTTCCTGTTTTGGTGGCCAGACTCGTGGGCACATATTCTCCTCAGGATGCCACAGGAGGCTCCAACAGGCTCCAGGAGGCCCCATGGGGCCACATGATGTCCCAGGAGGCATCAGGAGGCCACAGAAAGACTCAAGATGCCACAGGATGTCTCAAGAGGCCCCAGGAGGCCCCAGGAAGCTCCAGGAGGCCTCAGGAAGCCACAGGAGGCCCCAGGAGGCCACAGGAAGCGCCAGGAGGCATCGGAAGGCAACAGGAGGCCCCGAGAGGCCCCAGGAGCAGGAGGCGTCAGAAGGCAACACGAGTGGCCCCAATCCCATGTGTTTTTACCTATGCTCCTATAGAGTGGGCCTCACCTGGAGCACGGATCCTTCATGTTATACGTATGTTTATATATATTGTCCTCCTCTTGCGTATACAATCCTAAATGGTGTACGTCTGTTCCTATAGATTGGGCCTCCCCTGGGGCACGAGTCCTTGGTGTTTTACGTCTGCGCCTAAAGACTGATCTTCTCTTGCGGCTCTAATGCGTATTGTTTATGTACGTCTGTTCCCATAGATCGGGCTTCTCCTGGGGCATGCATCCTCCCTAGGAGGTCCCAGGAGGCTGCAGAAGGCTGCATGAGGCTACGCGAGGCTCCAGGAGGCCCCATGAGGCCACTCGAAGCCCCAAGAGGCCCCAGGAGGCCCCAAGAGGCTCCTGGAGGCCCCAGGCAGGAGGTTTCTGGAGGCCCCAGGAGGCCCCAGGCTCATGCGCAGAGGCGCGCTCGTACTACCGAGACTCCTCATTCACGCTCGAATCCGTTCGAAGTTAGATTCATGACCAGACCGTCGCAACTCAAGCCCGCTTATATTCGAAAACTCTTGCGCCTAGACTCTCACGGAGGACAGGTCCATGCGAATAGATGCACATATGGGGAGCTCCACGCAGTGAATACTTCTTACTTGGACGCCTCCTCCTCCTAATCCTCCTCTCCCTCCTGCGCATACCTAGACTTACTCATACACCGACCTACCCATACACAGACTTAATATAACCCAGGCCTGGCCATAGCAACTTACCCATACTGAGACCTGCTCATACTCAGGCCTACTCATACTCAGACTTACTCATGCTGATATTCACCCATACCCAGACTTACTCATACTCAGACCTTCTCATTGTCTGGCTTATTCAACACACAGCAGACTGTGAGGATGTCTCAGGCGGGGCGACCCCTAAGGGGCCGAGGGGTATTGCACGGTCCCGTTCGCTGTGGTTTGTGGTGATGTCTCAAGCGGTTTGCTTGTTTCTTCTCTAAACATCGTTCGCTTGGAGAGCAGATTGTGGGGATGTCTCAGGCGAGGCGCTGGTTTCAGCACCCCTAAGGGGAGCCGCCGAGGGGTATTGCACGGTCCAGTTCGCGGCCATTCTGTGGGGATGTCTCAGGCGGTTTGCTTGTTTTCTGTCTGAACACCTTTCGCTTGGAGAGCAGAGTGTGAGGATGTCTCAGGCGGGGCGCTGGTTTCAGCACCCCTAAGGGGAGCCGCCGAGGGATATTGCACGGTCCCGTTCGCGGCCGTTTTGTGGGGATGCCTTAAATTGTTTGCTTGTTTTCTGTCTGAACACCCTTCGCTTGGAGAGCAGATTGTGAGGATGTCTCAGGCGGGGCGCTGGTTGCAGCACCCCTAAGGGGAGCCGCCGAGGGATATTGCACGGTCCCGTTTTGGCCGTTTTGTCGGGACCTCTCGAGCGGTTTGCTTGTTTTCTGTCTCAACATCTATCGCTTGGAGAGCAGGTTGTGAGGATGTCTCTGGCGGGGCGCTGGTTTCAGCAAGGGAGCCGCCGAGGAGTATTGCACAGACCGTTCGCGGCCATTATGTGGGGATGTTTCTAGCGGTTTGCTTGTGTTCTGCTTTTGCGGTGTGTCCCGAGTGGTTCTACCCGTTGCGTACGACGGTCAAGGAGGAGTGACCAGGTGCTGCTGGCGCAGATCGTGTGTCACCGTTGGATGTTGCTTTCTTTCTCCGCGGTTCTTTCCAATCTTTTCGTCGTCAGCGGGAGAGGGAACTTGAGAAGGTTCATTCTCCCGCGTGCGTTTTGGGTTGGGAAGGGAGCTTGAAAAGGTTCACGCTCTAGCTGCGGGAGAGGGAACTTGAAAAGGTTAACTTTCCCGCTTTGGGCTCATATGGCTCATATGGCTAGACGCTCATTTGAATATCCCAAATGCAAGACTACCTTGTTTAAAAAGGATGCACATATGGGTTGTTTAACACTGCCGTCGACGACGTTCAGTTCCTTTTGCTTGCGTCTAATCCCCCTATAATAATATCCGCAATGGCTTCACCCCCTGCCGCTGGCCCCCTCTCTCGGAGACTGGGGCATGCAAGGGCTATGTTGTGAGGCCTGGGCGCCGTCGTGAAGCAGCGTCGGAACTCCGAACGGGGGCCACTGGAGATATGAGCGTACCAAGATCCTTCAACAACCTTAGGAGGATCACCGACGTTGGTCTATTGGGCCCGTCTTGGGGGCCTTTGACACAGGGCTGTGGCTCAGAAAGCGAGAGTACTGCGCACACCGGGGTTTATGATTTCGGGGATGCGAAGAACGCGTAATCTACTATGGATGATGGCTTCGGGGATGCAAATCATTACTTCGGAGACGCGGATACTGCATACTTTTCAAAGAATTATGCTCTCGTGAGCGCGACCACGCCGAATTTTGCAAGGACTTGTGGATTCGGGGGCGCGACCCTGTATAAATTCCAAGGGACGATGGCCTCGGGGACGCGAACATTGCGTACACTACGACGGATGATGGCTTCGGGGACGCGGATACGGCGTACTTTGCAATGTACTACTTCGTGGGTGCGAATCTCATGTATTTTTTTACGTGTCCCAGGACACCCCAGGAATTTCGAGAACCCCCTCAGGTGGTGGTAGCCAGGGCCCTTTTCGGCTCCTCCTCTCGCGCGGACTTCAACATTTTCCAAAACGAAGCTGAACGTTGGATTATATTACAGGGAATTTGAAAGTAGAACCGGAGCAGGGAGCAGGGAACAGCAAGCCTGACTCGCGTAGCTTTGTGGCCCCACAAGGGGGCCGGAGGGTTATTGTTGTTTTCCTGTTACTATTCTCCGGCCGTCGGTGCTGGCTGGTCGCGGGGCTTTCGGGTTCGTTTCGTGTTGGTGTACGACTGGTGTTGGGGCGTGTATTTCTTCTTTTATTTGTTCGTTTCCAGGTCTTCACGAGGAGTGGGAGGAGCGGGAGCAGGAACGGGAGAGGGAGCGAAAACGGCAGACCGCAGGAAAAATGACAGAGCAGCCGCCGACAAGAAATCATACAAATATGATCCATAGCGGATGCCCTAAGCACGGTGAAACAACTACGCCGAAACAGCGTAGTGTTGTCCGCTTTCCGCTTTTAGTCCTTCAAGAGCCCAACTTGCAGAAAGACCCAACCATATGCAGTTGTGACTCACGCAATTGTTGGTATCGTCTTCGGTGGAGCTCCTAATGGGGCACGAAACTTGTGAGTGGTGTGCCAACATGGGCGCGGTGGTGTCCTGCGAGCGCAACCACTGGGGCCTTCGGTGGAGCTCCCTATGGGGCCATGAAGTGTGTGAGGGGTGTGCCAAAGTGAGGGGGTAACGGGAGGAGGGAGGAGGAGGAGGAGGAGCAGGAGCAGGAGCAGGAGCAGGAGCAGGAGCAGGAGCAGGAGCAGGAGCAGGAGGCGGAGGAGGAGGACGAAGAGGAGGAGGAGGAGGAGGAAAGGAGGAGGCGGAGGAGGAGGAGGAGGAGGAGGAAAAGGAGGAGGAGGAGGGCCACGACACGTGCGAGTGGTGCGACGCAATGGGCGCGGCGGTGCCATGCAAGCGCAGCCACTGGTGCCTTCGGTGGAGCTCCCCGTGGGGCCACAAAACTTGTGAGGTGTGTGCCGAAATGGGCGCGGTGGTGCCATGCGAGCGCAGCCTTTGGGACCTTCGGTGGAGCTCCCTGTGGGGCCACAAAACGTGTGAGGGGCGTGCCGACTTGGGTGCGGCGGTGTCATGCGAGCGCAGCCATTGGGACCTTCGGTGGAGCCCCCGTATGGGGCCATGAAACGTGTGAGGAGTATGCCGAAATGTGTGCGGTGGTGTCATGCGAGCGCAGCCACTGGGGCCTTCGGTGGAGCTCCCATATGGGGCCACGAACGAGAGAAGGGTGTGCCGAAATGGGCGCGGTGGTGTCATGCGAGCGCAGCCGCTGGGGCATTCGGTGGAGCTCTCCATGGGGCCACGAAACGTGTGAGGGGTGTGCCAAAGTGAGGGGGATGACTGGAGGAGGGAGGGGGCAGGGGAGGAGGAGGAGAGAGGAGGCGAGGAGAAACGCGGGGACCGCCTCTTCAAATCAAGGACCCAACACCGCAGGATGGTTGGGAACAAAACAAAGACCCAGGGTTTCTGTCAGGGTGAACCAAGCCGATCTGCACATCGACATCGGCGGCCAGATCGATAGCGACTTCGGCGATTTGGTTGTCGCCGTCTGTATCGACTCGGCACCACCCGAATATACTTACGCCTCACGATACATGTGCCCTGGCACCCTAGGGGCGACGCGCGCGCTCAGAAGTCTGACGCTCATGTGCTCGGTGGCAGGTGTTTTCCGACCATGCCGCCTGGGTCATGATGCATTGTGTGTTATGTGTGCTATATTTCGCCGCTACGAAAAATCGGCAAACACTGAACTCTTCCCGTTCGGCGGCGGGGCCTTGGTACAATGTTGCCAACGCAGGACATGTTGAAAAGGACCCGTTCGACGACGTGGCCTCAGCACCATATTGCCAGGGTGTGCCCCGGTGCTTCGTGTAGAGGCATTTCCACGCAGCTTGGAGTTCGGACCAGGGGGGTCCGACTTCGGTCGAACACGTTTCTTCGAAGGAGCATTGGGCGGAGTCGCCATTTCGACTTCGGGCCGACGGATTTCGACATCAGGTCGAAATCGTATTTCTGGGAGTCTCCCGAGCGAAGACCACACTTTCGATGTTCCGTGCTACCGATTTGGAAGTTTTGAATGCCGAACGGTTGTCCAAGTCGAACGACGATTCCGGTCGAAATTTCATCAACAAACAATTTTGACCGAAGGCGAAGTTTCCAGTCCGGGTTCGAAGTTGAAATGGAGATGCCAGCCGTGAGTTTGTCCAACAGTCAATTCGTTCTTTGTCGGGTTCGAAGTCGCAGTGGGGGCGTTTCGCTGCTCGCAGGCTCTGGCGTTCAATGGCGTGCTGGTCCCTGCCCACCATTGGAACCTTCTTTAGGCACTGTTTTGGTAAAGCCACGAAACTTGTCAAAGTTTCCGTAGAAGCAATGGACCCATATGGTTGACACGAAATTGCGTTTTGGTCTCAGCGGTCCCTACTGTCAGCCGCCGAGCGCGGCTGTCAAGTGCGCAGCACTGTTGACCATAACTCTCCCGAGATCCCACTGGGCCCGCATGGTTGACATGAGCGTTTGCGTTGGTCTCAGCGGCCCCTCCTGGCAGCAGCCGAACGCGGTTGCGAAGTGCGCAGTACTGTTTGCAACGCGACCATAATTCGCCGGACATATATGTTCGATTTGGGCGTGCGTTTCCAAAAGGGGCGCGCAGAACTAGTATTTATTGCACCTGTCCCCTGTCAGCCGAAAAGGTATGACACCGAAAAGAAATCGGTGACGAAAACGTGCCCGAAATTGTGCGCGCAAACGTGGTCCGTGGTGTGACCAAAGTTGTGACTGACATTGATCATATGTTTGGTTTCGAACCAAGAACTTCGGTCACATCCTGGTGCGTTCGGAAAAATGCGGGCGCTAGCTTCTGTCACATTCGGGCAGATTTCCAGGCACAGTTTCAGACACTACACCCCCTCGATAGAGACGAGGCTGCGTAATAGTACGGTGGTGGCGTCCGTTAAAGGAATGTGCCTGGAGGTTTTAGACCCCGGAGGGATTCCTTATCTGATGAGGGTGGCCAAGCCTCGATTTGAGTTCCACGGGTTTCCAGTCCCTGTATTCTTGAGCCAAGGGTTCCTTACCAAGACGATGTCTGGATTTCTTTGTACGCGGCTCCTAGAAGTCCCGACTTGTTCCCCAGGGCAAATTTTCCATCCCGCGTCGAGTTTTGGCGGTCCTGACGCCCGGCGAGGGCCCCCAATGGCCGAAAATCGAGAATACCAAAAAACCTCCTGTCGTGAGTTTTCCCCGACCCGAGGGGGTCAGTGGATGTTCTTCTTCGCCCCATCGAAGACGACGCCGCCGTGGCCCCACGCGCCCACGGGCAGCCACCCCTCCCGGAGTTCCGTTGTTGCCGCTGCCATTGCCGCTGCCCTGCGGGCCCGGAGCCTCGGGCGCCCCCGCAGGCCGAGGAAGGCGGTGGACGAGCGCCGGGGCTGAAGCGCCGACGTCTCGGTCTCGGGGTGGCTGGGCTCCCGGGAGCCTCGGGGCGAGGGCCTCCGACGTCTCGGTCTCGGGATGGCCGGGCTCCCAGGAGCCTCGGAGCCTCGACCTCCTAGCCTCGAGGCGGGGGCCTCCGAACACCGCCCCGAGGGCCTCCGAGGGCCCCCACCACGCCCCGGCGGGTCCCGGTGGGCCCCCGAGGGCCCCCTCCGGGAGCCGCCCCGAGGGCCCCCGAGCGAGGGCCGCCGGGGGCCTCGACCTCCGAGGCCCCATCCTCCTTCTCCTCCTCCTCCTTCTCCTCCTCCTCCTTGTCCTCCTCCTCCTCTCCTCCTCCTCCCTCCCAGTCCTCCTCCTCCTCCTCCTTCTCCTCCTCCTCCTCGTTCTCCCCCTCGTCCTCCTCCTTGTCCTTCTCCTCCTGCATCCATTTTCCTCACAAGCATCAGGAGGGGAAAAGCGCATGGCGTTGGCGCGCCCGCGACGCCGGCGGAGGCGTTCAAGGCTGAACTCTGCGGCTTTGCCTCTGTTCTCGGGCAGTGCCAAGGGGGGTCACCACTGGGGGGGTCGCCAGCTTCTCCTGGAAATCGAGGTTCCAGGGTGGAGATTCGAGGGGTCGAGGATGTTCTTGGACGTTTCTTTGCGTTTTCGGGGCTCTGGGGGGCCCAGTTCCTCGAGGAAGTCTCGAGGAAGTGGCGTTTCGTCAAGGAAGTGGCGACCCCCCTAGTGGTGACCCCCCTTTGCACTGCCCCATGTTCGCGCTGGATAGAATGACGCGGAGGCACCGAGGGACACGGTCACGCCACAGGACCCGAGTGAAGTCAACCTTGAGCGATCGGAGTTGCGATCGATGCAAGGTTGAACAGTCGATGCGGTGTCCAAGTTTTTCGCGCGCGCGCCAGCGCCGCACAAGCATACCGTACACATATTTATCAGGAACCAGCAAGTCGTGGGAAGGACACCCGTTCTTGTAAACTTCGATTTGGTCGTCCAGTGCAGATTTTTGTTGTTGTGCTGCAGGGTTCGGGTATTCGTCCAGGTCTAGGGGGGGTATGCTGTCTTGAAGGGCCTCGGTCCAAGTTTATAATGTGAATGTTGCAGCGCAGTTTCTTTTTAAGTGGCCCTGCCTGGAAAAGTTGGTTTCGAGAGATGTCGGATGTCTCGGTCTAGCGTGTACGGCCTCACGGGGCCCTGAAGGCTTCGATCTTCGATGTGCACGTCGACATCGGCGACCTGATCGACGATCGGCGATCGACGACGACGACGCCGCCTTAGCGCCCAGGCAGGTCACCGCGGCCACGGGCGCGCTGCTGCCAGCGATGTTCCTGCACTGCCCCCCTCAGGGCGTCCGCGGCGTGGAGGCGGACGCCGAAACCGTGAGCCAGGCGCCCCCCCCGCCCCGTGGCGGCGAAAAACCGATGGGACGACGACGACGACGATGACGACGCAGTGCCCACGTCTCGGTCGTTCCATACATGGGCCTCTTCCTCCTCCTCCTCCTCCTCGTCCTCCTCCTCCTCGTCCTCGTCCTCCTCCTCCTCCTCCTCCTTCACCTCCTCCTCCTCCCTGAGTTAGGCGGAACAGCCTGGGGGGCATCGACGAGCGGGACGACCTGGAGTTTCAGGCACTGCTACAGCTTGGCGCGACCGAGTGGCAAAGCATGGCGGACGAACTCATTTCGATGGGGACTCAAGCTTATGTCCCACCTTGGCGACCGCGACAGGGCCGCGTCAACGGACGCACGCAGATCATCAGGGAGTGCATGAGCGCAATGACCTAGCTAGACCATCGACACGATCCCGCCTACGGCCGCCTCCCGGCTGGTCATCGGCCACGCGACGGAGGAGCTCACCTTACGACCGGTTCCGCCGGTCCCTCTTCTGGAGGATCCTGTGCCGCATAGAGTCCCTGTTGCCGCAGCTGCGGAGTATCAGCCTGATCTGGTCCCTTGGCCTGCCGGAGCGGGTGCGGCGCCTGCTCCCAGAGTTGGAGACCCTGGTGAGTTTTGCCACGAGGGTGTTCCTGACCAGAAGTTGACAAAGAAGAAGAAGAAGAGCAACAGCAACAACCACAACAACAACAACGCCAACACCATCAACAACAGCGACAGCGACAGCGACAGCAACGGCAACAACAGCAGCAACACCAACAGCAACAGCAACAGCGACAGCGACAGCAACAACAACAGCGACAACAGCAATAGCAACAATAGCAACAACAACAATCATAACAACAGCAAACAAACAAGCAAGAAGAAGACCAAGGGAACGGGGTTGGAGGCTGTGACGCCGCCGGCCGCCGTCGCGACAGGCACCGCGCCATCCGATGGCGGGGAAGAGACGGTTGAGGAGGACCTCGGCTCCGAATGCTTGGGGAGGATTGCTGGAGTACGCGTAATTACGGGTTGACCACCTGAGCCTTCAGTTGTTTGTTGCGGCCGAGGCCGCCGTGGCTATCGCAGCTCTGGGCCCAGCCGGCTAGATTTCCACCGCGGGTGTCAGGCATGTTTGTGTTGCCACTTCTTGCACGTGTCATGCTCAGTGTATGGTTTCAGAGTTTAGCCGATCGGACGAGGCTTCCCCTTGCTCCGCTGCTGCTGCTTTTGGCCCGCTCCCCCCTCCCTGGCTGGCCAGAGTCGCTCCATTTCTTCCTCATCATCATCATCATCACCATCACCATCACCATCACCATCACCATCATCATCATCATCATCATCATCATCATCATCATCATCATCATCATCATCAGCAGCAGCAGCAGCAGCAGCAGCATCAGCATCAGCATCATCAGCATCATCATCATCAGAATCAGCATCAGCACCATCATCATGCTCCCTCTCCTCCTCCTCCTCCTCCTGCTCCTCATCCTCCTCCTTGTCCTTCCCCTCTCCTCCCTCCTCCTTCTCCTCCTCCTTCTTCTCCTCCTTCTGCTCCTCCTCCTCCTCATCATCCTCCTCCTTCGGCTCCTCCTCTCCCCCTTCTTGCAGGGACAGGCAGTCCTCATGTGGCGCGTTTCAAGAACTTCAGTAGGCCTCGCAGATGGGGTCAAAGTAGAGGGGGGCGGAGGATCGCGCCGCATTGCCGTTGTATCGGCGATCTGGCTCGATGTGGAGCCCGATTGCCCCCACGCCGACGTCGCAGATGCATAGCCGGCGTCGCCGATGCATCGCCGATGCGGCCAAAAAACCGCAGGGACAACCGATGCCCGTGCCTCCCCAGACCACCTCTCGGGTAAGGAAAAACATGGCGGGCGGTATGTTGCTGTCTCTGGGGGCCGCCGCCAGGCCTCGGGGCCGTCAAACAACGACTCAGGATCAACAGCTGGTCCCGGGGATTGGGTGGAGACCTCTGGGGTCGACGTCGGGCGGCCGAAAACCGCAGGGACATGCGGTGCCATCCCTCGGGGGCGTCCATCGCGTCGTGAAGAAATCGCTACCAGTACTGCTATCCTTCCCTCCTGTTCGCTTCTCTCGCTTGGACTTTCCTCGAAGCTCTGGTCAGAGCGCCGCTACCAGTACTGCTATCCTTCCCTCTTGTTCGCTTCTTTCGTTTGGACTTTCCTAGAAGCTCTGGTCAGAGCGCATCCCGGGAAAGGTCTGGGGATTAGCGGCACTCGCAACCGGAGATTCTTGGCCGTTTTCGGCTATCCGGGGCCTTCGCAGCCTCGCAGGGTCCCGGGGCACGACTCGGGATGAAATGCCCGTTCAGGGGGAAAGGGGTCGAGACTTCCAGGAATCTACGGTGTGAAAAATCACGAGGTCGGGGGTTTGGGCAGGGCGGGGGTATTTCAGACCAGAGCCATGACATCTCCCGCAGTGTTATGGCCCCCTCCCCTTCTCTCACTACGCCTGCTACCCCCCCCCCTCGTCCGCACATGCCTTGGGCAACGACTTGCGAGCCCCCTTCTTGGACGTCGCCCTCCTAGACGCCTCCGTACCCAGACCCCGACGTCATGATTTCTTCTGACGTTGACTCCAGAGGTCTCGACCCATTCCCCGGGACTGGTTTATCATCATGAGTTATTCTCTGACGGTCTTCGGGCCCGGCGGAGAGAAGACCCCAGAGGCCAAACAAAAACAAGAAATCGCGACCCGAGGGGGTCTGGGAATTTCGATCCGCTCGCGGTCCGATTGAATATGTTCGCCAGCCTGAACTCCAAAGGACCTCCACCATGGTGGGTGGAGGAGGAGGAGGAAGAAGAAGAAGAAGAAGAAGACGAGGAGGAGGAGGGGGAAGAGGATATGTTCGCCAGCCTGAACTCCAAAGGACCTCCACCATGGTGGGTGGAGGAGGAGGAGGAAGAAGAAGAAGAAGAAGAAGACGAGGAGGAGGAGGGGGAAGAGGATGAGGAGGAGGGAGGAGGAGGAGGAGGAGGAGGAGGAAGAGGAGGAGGAGGAGTAGGAGGAGAAGGAGGAAGACGAGAAAGAAGAGGAGGAGGAGGATGAAGAGGTGGAGGAGGGAGGAGGAGGAGGAGGAGGAGGAGGAGGTGGAGGGGGGGAGAGGAGGTGGAAGAGGACGAGGAGGAGGAGGAAGAGGAGAAGCAGGAGGAGGAGGAGGAGGAGGAGGAAGAAGAGGAATAGGAGGAGGGGGAGGAGGGAGGGGGAGACGGATGGGTGAGGGTGAGGATGATGATGCTGTTGCTGCTGCTGATGATGATGATGATGATGATGATGATGATGATGACGATGACGATGATGATGATGATGATGCTGATGATGATGATGATGATGATGATGCTGATGCTGATGCTGATGCTGATGATGATGATGATGATGATGCTGATGCTGATGCTGATGCTGATGCTGCTGATGATGATGATGATGATGATGCTGATGATGATGATGATGATGATGCTGATGATGATGATGATGAGGATGATGATGAGGAGGAGGAGGAGGAATAAGAAGAAGACGAAGACGAATGCTATTATGAACAAGAAGAAGAGGAGGATGAGGAGGAGGAGGGGGGGAGGGAGGAGGGAGGAGGGGGGAGGGAAGACGGCGGAGCAGGAGGAGGAGGAGGAGGAGGAGGAGAAGGAGGAAGGAGGAGGAGGAGCAGGAGGAGGAGGAGGGAGGGAGGAGGGAGGAGGAGGCGGAGGAGGAGGAGAAGGAGGAGGAACATGAGAGGAGGAGGGGGAGGAGGAGGAGGAGGAGCAGGAGGAAGAGGAATAGGAGGAGGGGGAGGAGGGAGGCGGAGACGGATGGCGGAGGGTGAGGATGATGATGATGAGGAGGAGGAGGAGGAGGAAGAAGAAGAAGAAGACGAGGGGGAGTCGGAGGGGGGGAGGAGGAGTAGGAGGCGGATGATGATGATGATGATGATGATGATGATGATGATGATGATGATGATGATGATGATGATGATGATGATGATGATGATGATGATGATGATGATGATGATGATGATGATGATGATGATGATGATGCTGATGATGATGATGATGATGATGATGATGATGATGATGATGATGATGATGATGATGATGATGATGATGATGATGATGATGATGCTGCTGCTGCTGCTGCTGCTGCTGCTGCTGCTGCTGCTGCTGCTGCTGCTGCTGCTGCTGCTGCTGCTGCTGCTGCTGAGGAGGAGGAGGAGGAGGAGGAGGAGGAGGAGGAGGAGGGGGATGGGCAGGAGAAGGGGGAGGGGGAGATGGAGGGGGAGGTCTAGATCTTTGGGGAACGGCGTTTTTCCAAGGGGGGGGCGCGCTGGCCTCGCCTCGAGGTAGCCTTTGCCCCCCATCTCCTTTCTGGGGCGTCCAACCCCCCCTCGGGCCATGAGACAAAGATTGCGGAGTATGTTTCGGTATTGTGAAGGCCTTGCGGCGGGTGCCGCCGACCGTGAAGGACGACGACGACGACGACGAAGACGACGACGAACTGCCTTCCATCCCAGACCCCCTCGGGGCCAGGAGACTGATATGTCGCCGCGCCGTTTGTTCACACGCCCTGCCTTACTCCTTGGGGAGAGCGCCGCGGGCACCAGGGCAAACTCCACCTCGGGCGCGGCTGGTTCGCCGTGGGGTTTGCCACGGTGCTGGTTTCGACTTGGGTGCGGGGCGCAAGGCTTGCCGTGGACTTAAGCGCGGTGAGAAGAAACGGCGCGGCGACACATGGCGGAAGGTTTTGCTATATGTTTGGCCTCTGGGGGCCCTTGCCGAGCCCGGGACCGTCCAAAAACGACTCGGGATGACAAGCGGTCCCCGGAATGGGTCGAGGCTTTTGGGGATCGACGTTCATGGCGTCGGGGGTCTGGGGAGGGCGGGGGTGATGACTGGGAGTTGTGGGAGGCTATGATATTTGGGGGTGGAGGGCCATGATCTCTCTCTCTAAATGTCATGCCCCCCTCGTCCTCCCCGCCCATCATTTACGATCCCACCTTCTTGGACGCCCCCTTCTTGGATGCCCCCGACTCCAACCTTCCGATTTTCTGCCCTCCAATTCGCTGCGCGGCTTGGGCGTTATGAAGTCTTACTAGGCTGGACTTCCGGACACTCGGTTGAGCGGCGACCCCGCGTCGCCAATTGGCGAGTGGAACGGTTGGCGCCGCCAGGGAGGCCTCTGCGAACAGCGCTGGCGTCGATAATGTATGCCCGCGTGCACATCGGTTTCGCCCCGCTCGATCCGATTCGACTCCGGCATTCCGTCGATCGGGTGCGGCCCGATGCTCGCATGGTGCCGTTGCGCATCCTTGCTCAGCCGACGCGATCCGATTCCGGCTTCATGCCGACTCAGTCCCCATCCAATGCGCATTTCGATATGAGCCGTTCTCTTGGTTTGATGCTGGCTTATCCTGCCCCAGGCAGCCAGAACCGCATGGATAGCGTCTCTGGCAAAATTCTCGTGCGTCCCCTCCCAGACATCTGGCGCCTCGAGAAAGGCGAGACGACCAGTCTACAGCATTTGTTCGCATCTGGAGCACGTTTCGGGCCTCGGGGCCGTCAACAAAAATGAGCCGCATCAAGAGCTGGCCGTGGGAAGTGGTCGAGAGTTCCTGGGGCCCACCGCGCATCGTCGGTCGACTTGCTTCTTCTGAGTCTAATCGGATGAGCTTCAACTCGTGATTGCGCGAAACATTGTAAGGTTTAGTGTGTGCAGTTATCTGTGCGTAAGGCAAAAATGTCGAATCGTACTTGTCCGCGAGGTCAGGCACCCCTTTCACGAGTCACGCACCGCATTCTCTGAATTCCCACACCACGGCCGCCATAGCACATTTTGTTTGTGAAAGCCCTGAAGGTTGAAAGACCGCTTCGTGGGGTAGACGTGGTCCTTGTTATTCTCACAGAGCCTCATGATCATCGCTGTATAGCAGTCATCGCTGCGTAGCAGTCGTGGATGGCACTTGGGCATCTCAAGGGGTGCGGCACACGGGCCCGTTTCGTCAGATTGCGGGGGCTTAACAAGGCGAATGTTTGTTTTGCAGTTCTCGGGGGCATACGTGCCCCTTTCCAGAGCCACGTGATCATCGTGGTGTAGCACGTATCGCACTTGGGCACCCCAATGTGGGAGCCGCCAGGGAGTATGCCACCGGCCCAGTCGTGCCAAGATGTTCATTACGTTTGGGTGGCCCCAGTAGACGGGTCTGCTTCCAAGGCCACATGGCCACCGCGATGCAGCACACACGGCACCTGATCATCCGAAGGCTGGGTAGCCATGGGAGGCCCACTCATGCCCACATTCACGTAGAGTCAGGCCCACTCGTACTCAGTGCAGTCACGCAGACGTCGCCCATGCTCAGACATTTCTCGAACGGGCACTCGCCAGAAAAGATTATGAACATACGGGGACCTCAGCGTCGAGCAGCTTCAGTCCTCGGCCCCTTCCGACGTCTGGGTGCGACAGGTTCGCGCCGCATCGATGCTGCTGCGACCCCGGCGCGGGCGCTCAAGCTTGAACGCCGCTGGTGGCCAAGAATCAGCCATTATCTTATAATTTGCGCTACCGGAGAGCCGCGATCGGCCAAGGTTGAACGATCCGCGCGGCGTGAGAAGTAAACGCCCGGGTCGTCGCGGCACGAACCTGCCGTAGAATCAAGACGCTGAAATGAGGAACAGGTCGGGCTGGGCAAGGGACCACGTTTCCTTCGGTCCTTCCATGTTTGTTCATCTGGGGCTCCTTGTGCGGTCCAGAAGGTGGCCTCTTTCTCTCTTTCTCCCTTCTCTCTCCCCGCCCAAGGGCGCGAAGATTTTTGTTGCGCAGTGTGCGACCCTCCCGATGTCTGGGCCAGGGGCATCTCGCCCTCAGACTCGTGGAGGCTTTGGTTGCTGATTCGGTCTTGATCCGAGACAGAGGCAAGGCTACTCCAGGCCTCGGAAAAAAACAGCGAACACACATACATGCTACGTTCGTCTGTCAAGGCCTGCCCCTCCCCCAAATGTTCGAAGCTGGCGGTGGGTCCGATGAGCTGCACTTCGACCGCAGTCTCCCCCGCGCGTGCCAGCTGTGAGTCTGGGGGAGCGGGGGGGGGTCCATGTGATGGGCTTGTTTACCACCACCACCACCACAAGTTGGAAGGGGAGGGGGTCCTCCCCCTCCTCCTCCTCCTCCTCCTCCTCCTCCTCCTCCTCCTCCTCCTCCTCCTCCTCCTCTTCGTCCTCCTCCTCGTCCTCCTCCTCCTCCTCCTCTTCGTCCTCCTCCTCGTCCTCCACCTCCTTCCCCCCTCCAACTTCTGGTGGTGGTGGTGGACAACAGGCCCATCAGCCCACGAGCTGTTTCCCTCGACCGTCGCTCCAGGCGGAGGCCTCTCGCCGCGCTCGGCCTCCGAAGGCCTCCGCCGGACCCCCCCGGGGGGCCGCCCACCGGGAGCGGACCCGGAAGGAGAAGCAGAAGCAGAGGGCAGCGTGCCGCAAGGCAGCAGCTGGACCGGGCAGCAGCCACGCGCAGAGTCGGGCGATCGCAGCACATGGATTGATGGGGCGTGGATTCTAGCGACGGGTCCCGCGTCCACTGGAAATCGCGGACTTCCGCCGCCGAGCGAGGCGGCGCTGCCCGCATTTTGGGCTCCGCCGGACCCCCCCGGGGGGCCGCCCACCGGGAGCGGACCCGGAAGGAGAAGCAGAAGCAGAGGGCAGCGTGCCGCAAGGCAGCAGCTGGACCGGGCAGCAGCCACGCGCAGAGTCGGGCGATCGCAGCACATGGATTGATGGGGCGTGGATTCTAGCGACGGGTCCCGCGTCCACTGGAAATCGCGGACTTCCGCCGCCGAGCGAGGCGGCGCTGCCCGCATTTTGGGCCCCCCCCCCCCCCCCGATCCATGCTTGCGCGCCCACGACAGAGGGGGGCAGGGGGGAAGGGGGGAAGGCTTCCTAGGAGGAGGCTCCTTTCTCATCTCTCAGAAGGTGCGGGCCTTGTCTGTAGATGTTGGGCCCTCGCCTTCCGACAAGCAGCCTCGTTCTGAGAAGCCTTCCCCCCTCCCTCTGAAACCCCCCTCCTGCGCGCCGCCAAGTATGGACTTCCCTGGTCCCCTGGGCGGTGCAGCCAGTCTGGCCATGATCTGAATACGGTTGCCCAGCAGTGCGTCCATAAGCGTAGGAAGCGCAGCCTCCAGACTGGAGGGGAGGCTTGCTGGGAGGCAGGGAAGACCTCTGCGCCCCCCTCTGCGCGCCGCCAAGTATGGGCTCCGCTGCCCCGAGGTGGTGGGCCACAGCCTGTGGGCCACCTACCTCGCGCCCGGCGCGGCGCCCGGCGCCGGGAGAGCCCAAGCGGCGGCTACACGCAGGGGTGGCCTTTCGTCGAGCAATGGCGAGGCTTCTTGGCTTGCCGTCAGGCCTACACAAGAAAGTTCAAAGAAATGATGCGGTTTGCACGACATGGTATTGGAGCATTTCTGGCCGATACGCTCTTGCTTCAAAACCTTGGAGTAGTGTTCTAAGACAACGATTTTCGTGGGTGGAACATTCTTGTGTTCCGAGAGCATTCCGTGGTAGGCTTATGGGAATGCCTTGTACGAAATGATGGGACGGTCGGTCCCTGCTCAGTTTCGCTGGAGTGGCCTTTTTTTGCGCGGCTTTCGGTCAGAGGGGGACAAGGCACAAATGCCGCTGCAGTTGCCTCGTTTTTGCCTGTTGGGGGCCTCCTGGGATGCCCTCGCCGCCGCGGCTGGATTCGCCTCGAAACCTTGGTCAGAACGCACCCCTGGGAAAGGTCCAGGGAGTGGCGTTGTGAGCACCTTTCGGTTTCCCCATTGTGGGTGCGCGAGGGGGGGCCACACCCAAGCAGGCAGGCCGCCACCTGTCGCACCGCATGCAGCGATCGGCACGTCCCCTTGCACCTCTCGGCCTCTGGCGGCCTCTCGGGACAAGTCGGGCACCCCTGGAACGCTCGGCGTGGCGCAGATGCTGGAAAGCATCCCGGGGCGAAGAAGCCTTCGAGAGCCAACGAAGGCTTCCAAGACAAGAGACGCGGCCCCTCGCCTACTTGGCTGGCTCCAGAGCCCCTGAATCCAGAAATGATGGCGTCGTTCATTTCCGCCGCCGTCCGCCAGCGGACCTGCCGCTGCTTTACTTTTCCCTGCTCGTGCCTGCCTTCCGTCGGCGTCCGCCGAAGGCGAGACGCGCCGCAGACGAGGCCCTCGCTGGAACGCCCCGGCTGGGGCCACGCACAGGCCTTCGATGTCCTGATCTGTCCCATGCGGGGTCCCTGTGGAGCTCGGGACCACCTCCCGCGGACTGGTTGTTCGCCCCCCGGCTTTTTTTTTTGTTCGGCCCGGGGCTCAGCGAGGGGCCTCCCAGAGGCCGAACGCGACGAAGAGCCTCCGTCGAGATGCTTTCAATGCGCTGGAGGCCCTCTCTGGAACGCCCCAGTCAATGGTAGATCGAGAAGGGACCGATACCCCCACTCCACGAACCTCTCCTGGGGTGCGTTCTGCCCAGGACTTCGAGGCCAACCCAGCCGTGGCCACGAGGGACGGGTAGCTGCATCGGCATCTCCTCCTCCTCCGAGTTCGGGCCACTCTGGCCCGTGGGGCCACTCCTGTCGTGCAGCCGCGGAGCCGCCGGCGCCGCCCAGCTGCCGCTGGCGGACGCCGCGCCAGTGGGCGGCGATACGGCGCTCGTGGGCGAAAGACATGTCCGTTCCTCTGGCCTCGCGGGTCGGGCCCCCGGGCCGCGACCCCGCGGCTACGGGGCGTTCTTTCGCGGACGCCCCGCGCGGAACGTGTCCGTGTTTAGACTTCCGACGCCTTGAGTTTCTCAATGCGCGGGGCTCTGAAGTCCCGACCCTCTCCCAAAGGCCGGCTCTGCATCCCGAGTCGTTTGTTGACGGTCCCGGGGCCCGGCGAGGGCCCCTTGAGCTTCTCGAGACGCTGGAGGCCTGGGGTACCCAAACGGCCGCGTGTCCGCAGGATCGCGACCCGGCGCACGCGCGCGACCGCGAGGGCGCGGATATGGATATCCGAGCATGTTCCTTGGGTGGAGGGCAAGGGGTGCAATCTGAAATGCCGTTTCGATGGATGTTGGGGGCTTGATTCCGGAAAAGGTGAATCACAAGACGGAGTGGTTTTCGAGGTGGAAAAGCCCGTATGGATTTCACCCTGAGCCCTCCACCCTGAGAAAATGCTCAGGATCTGTCTTCGCCGTGCGTGAGGCGCTCCTGGGCGCGACGGCCGCCGTCCTCGCCGCCCTCGCCGCCCTCGCGGCGCGCGTGCGCCTGGCGGGCGCCCTGCGCGGCAGGCGCCCGGCGGCGGCCACGGCAGCGCTGCTGGCACGCTGACGGCCGGCGGCCGACGGCTGGCGACCGGGCCGCCGAGGGCCGCTGCGGGCCGCTGCGGCCGCCGCGGGCCGTCCGCGCTGCAGCGCTGGCAGCCGACGGCCCGCGGCGCCCGCCGCGCCCGCCGCGGGCGCGCGCCCAGGATCCCGCGCCTGCGCGGGAGGCGGGCGGCCACGGCCACCGCGGAGACACTGCGGGCGCGCGCGCGCGCCGTGCGTGGTGCTCCCGCGGTTGCTCCCGCGACCGTCCCCGCGGTTGTCTCGTGGTCGTCCCGTTGTTGTCCCGTGGTTGTCGCGTCTGTTGATGATTAGGTGGTTGCTGAGACTGGTGCAGGTGGTGACACATCTTCATTGAGAGCACGGGGTAGGCGTTCTGGGGCCGGGGCCCAGACCCAGCGACCTCAAGCCTCCATGGGAGGGCCTGGGCCCGGGCAGCGCTCCCAGAGATCGCCAAGATGGGCCAAGAGGGTCTCCAGGCGGCCCTCGGGGCCGCCAAGACGGTACCATATTGCGTCCAGGCGGCCCAAGACAGCACGAGATTGCCCGAAGAGGCCCCCAAGCGGCTCGCAAGGGGCTTCCAAGAGGCTACCAGGAGGCCAACGTCCATGAACAATTTGAAGGTTCGGCTTTTCCGCTTCTGAGGGGCTTCTGAGGCCTCGGGATAATCCAGAGATGGCCCCAGGGAGCCCCCTGAGAGGCCCAAAGAGGCCCCTCAGAGGCCCCAGAGAGGTCCCAGGACATTGCGGAGACGCTCAAAACCAGAATGGGGTGAGACACAGGCCCAGCGACGCCATCTGGGTGCGGCTAAGCAGTGACAAACACGAGGAGGAGGAATGGGATGATGATGATGATGATGATGATGATGATGATGATGATGATGATGATGATGATGATGATGATGATGATGATGATGATGATGATGATGATGATGATGATGATGATGATGATGATGATGATGATGATGATGATGATGATGATGATGATGAAGATGATGATGCTGATGATGCTGATGATGATGATGATGATGATGTGATGATGATGGATGATGCTGATGATGATGCTGATGCTGATGCTGATGCTGATGATGATGATTGATGGGTGGTGGTGGTGATGCTGATGATGGTGATGATGATGATGATCATGGTGATCATGGTGATCATGGTGAGATGACGATGATGATGATGATGATGATGATGATGATGATGATGATGATGCTGATGCTGATGCTGATGCTGATGCTGATGCTGATGCTGATGCTGCTGATGATGATGATGATGATGATGATGATGAGGAGGAGGAGGAGGAGGAGGAGGAGGAGGAGGAGGAGGGGGAGCAGAGGGGCTGAAAAGGAGGAGGGAAATTAAGAGGACGAGGAGGGTAACGTGGAGAAAGATGAGGAGAAGGAGGACGAGAAGGAGGACGAGGTGAACGAGTTGGAGTGGTAACGAATTGGCGACCAATGCGGACTGTCCAGTAAAGCATGCCGTTTTCGGAGGCTATCCTTCGCTCAGCAGTTTCTGATGGGTACAGTGGGCGATGCGGAGGATCAAGAGGAGACAGAAGAGGAGGAGCAGGAGAAGCAGGAGAAGGAGCAGGAGGAGGAGGAGAAGGAGGAGGAGGAGGAGGAGGACGACGACGACGGGGAGGGGACGACGACGACGACGGCGACGACGACGAGGATCGGCGCTCTCTGGCGCCGCGTTGCCGCTCGCCGCGCCCCAGGTCGAGCACGCCCAGGGCGCCCTGAAGGAGGAGCTCTCCCAGATCCAGGCCCCGCAGCCCCGCACGCCTCGGGATCCTGAGCAAGAGTGGTGGCTCGGGGGTGGACAGAACCCCCAACAGTGACACGTCGATTTGTGAATTGTCCGTTTGCGGTTCTCGAGAGGGCGCCGTGGCCGTTATTTTCCAGGCTTGCGCCCGCCAGGTTTGGGCCTCAGGTCGTTTTCACTAAACCACGTTTTACTAAAGGGGGGTCTGTCCATCCCCGAGTGGCTGTCCACGTGACGAGGTGGCGCTGGCACC